TTCGAATTGAAAGGTTACTAAAAAGCAACAATGATAATGAATTAAAACACGGAATATGTTTTCATATTTGCTCTTTCATTCAGTATTATACATTTTCCATTAAAACAATGTGCATAAAATGTTAATATAATCAAACAACAGATTTCATAATAGCTATACGAAAATAGAACTGGGTCTACATGATTGATAATATCACCAATAAAAAAAAATGTTCCTGATTACCCAGGAAAAAAGAGAGAAAAGGAAAAGCTATACAAGAAAGAAAAACTTAATCGCTTTTAAGAATCCTCTTTACATCAGGTGAAATATTAGCAATACGAAGCTTACAGTCCCTCCTCGTCTGTGATCGACATCCTTCCTCGTGACAGATATCTTTTCAGATAAGACGAACAACCTAAGAATTCACTTTAGTTTCAATTCTGATGCTTTGTACATCCTTGCTCATTTCCGGGATAAACAGGCGTAGGAAGTGAGGGCAAGAGGGCAATTCGTCCGACAGGTTTCCGACCAGGAAATAGCCTGGTAGTATGCAGGTCACGAATCACCAGGGGCATACGCAGGATTTTTTCAAGGGGGTCGGTTTTAAAATCGGGCCCAAAATATTTTGCTCCCGAAAATTTGAAAATCGCGCCGGCCGAAAAGTCGTTCAGTGGGGAAGGGGGTAAGCGGACACTTATTTTTTGGAGGGGGGTCTCGAAATTTGAAAAATTGACATTTTTCTTTGTTGGGGGGGGGGGGGGGTAAGGTCACCTTTTTTAGGTTAGCCAAGGGCATAATAATTTAAAAAAAAAAAGAAAAAAAAGGGGGGTTTAACCCCCGAAACCCCTCCCCCTGCGTACGCCCCTGCGAATCACTGTAAGCTAATAAACGCATGAAGTGTAGGCATGATATTGGTTAACAGGGTAACTCTTTCTTCCTCGGTTAAAGAGAAGTTGAGTTTTGGGAAGAGGTGATCAATAATTTGTGAGCGTTTTTATGTTATTATACAAGTGTGGAAGAACATCAGAGAAAAAATGTTCCCTGAAAAGCATGGCTCTTCAAATGTCTTAATATTCTAAGTATGGCATGTAAGATCATTAACATCAGGACGGATTTGTATGCCAAATGTAGTCCCATATACATCTTTCTGTGTACAGTGCTTGTAATTTTACCAAGACTGGGCAAAACTTCTTATCATTTTGATGATTCCAGAACCTTGCAGTACACACCAATACTTATATGCTAGATGATAAACCCTTTCTGCTCGATTCCACAATGAAAACGCATGACCAGAACTCAACTTTATCTTCTAGTCATTAGGGGGGTGATTCCCCTCCCTCCCCTCTTCCCATGGTAATGCAAACCAGGACCTTCCTCACTGAAGGCAATTTGGATACTCCGCTGGAGACGTGTTCAGGAATATTTTTTTATCCATAATAACAATATTCCATCATAACAAACACAAACACACATACACACAAACGGTAACGTGTATTCAAAGTGCTTCAAGGAGAGTCGGATCTTTAAAAGCTGAACATGCTATGTTTGCGCCTAATACAGCTAGAAAAAATATATTTGTGTACAAATGATTGACGAAAATAGTCCAGGAGCGCCAACATTTTTATATTATCAGTCCATTGCCTCTTTTGACATGTTAACGTTACAACTATTTATGTATACACTATACAGGATACAGATACTATCTTTCCATATTGGTTATTTAATCTGCTTTTATTTGTCAAAGCCTATTGATGAAGGTAATCCGAAATTGAAATTAAGCGCTTGTAGAACAGGATAGTCTCTCAACTTTCCTCCAGGAAAATCAAAATGATAATTAATAATAATTATAATAATCTTTTAAAGTCCACTCCAAATTTGATTAAGTTCAACCAAAAATGGAAATTCTTTTTGCCAAATTGATCGTGAGCCCGGCAGCCACTGAGCAGCGCCACATCGACGTTGCTCTATCCTTTATTGTCGAACGCCAAACAAGGTAGCAGCAACCCCTGTTTTTTAACGTCCATGACGCGGCCGGGGTTCGCTCTACTGACTGAGCCAACACACCGGTATTACGCCTCTGATAGTACATGTATTTCAAAATACAATAACAACAACTAACATTAGGTGATTAATATTTGCATATGATGGACGATTACCCCCTGGACAATGCCGCCCCGGATGATTACCTTCATGAAATCTACCCACTAAGGACAATAACCCCCTGGAACATTACCTTTAAGAAAAAAAAAATCCCCCCTCCCCAAGGACAACCAACCCCCGAGAACAATTACCTCTGGAAAATTACCCCGGGAAAACTACCCCCTAGGACAATTATCTCCCGTGGACAAGTATCCCCACCCCCCGGAGGACAATTATCCCATTTATATGACAAATACACCGTCCCAAGGAAAAACAAGGACAACCCCACCCGAAGACAAATACAACCCCCAAATCCCCCCTCCAAGTTGTTTGAAAATATGTATAATCGAAATAGTTATCTTGACTAAATCTACATTCTATACCATTCAGAACCAAACGGTAGACCTACTTTAAGTATGCAGTTATACTCATCACATTGGCACGTGCCATGTAAAAGCAGAACTACCCCAAATCCACACTTCATTTTGAATTTTGAAAGAAACTGTCAGCTATGTAATAAGGCCCGGTCGCGCGCGGCCCGGTCACACACGGCCCGCGCATTGAAAATTTGCAATATTTGCCAGTGCGTTGTCGTGCGTTAGGTGTGCGTCATCATTCGTTACTCGTTCGTCGAGGACGCTGGACCAAGGCTATGCATTCGTCGTCATTCGCTGTGTGCGCCGGGAGTTTTTGAGCATGCTCAAAAATGTGAGCGGAGCTCGACGCATGAATGTAAACGCCAAAAGGACGTCAGACCGTATGCGCGGAGCGTGCTAGACGCCAGTGCAACTGAGTTTTTTATACTATGAATATGACGGACAAAGAAAGCGGACAAAATATACGGTTCCTCAGGTAAATAAAGGAACATCCCTTCACTGCTATTATGTAAAAAGGCGAATTTGTATGTGACACCTGTTCTACACATTTTACATAATAGCAGTGAAGGGATGTTCCTTTGTCTACCTGAGGAACTGTATATTTTGTCCGCTTTCTTTGTCAGTCATATTCATAGTGTCAAGATGTCACCCAAGAGAATTAACCCAACGTCCCCGAACCACAATGAGCTACGTACACGCCAGGTATACTCAAGGGTGCATGCAAAAAGAACGTTGGGCGCGTTAGAGACACGTTCAGCACGCATTCAGCACGCTCATATTCGCTGCTTGTTCGCTGGACATGCGTTTGAAACGCACTAGGTATACGTCTTCATGAAGAAGGCACAAAACGGTAAATCTGACAACTAAAAATGAAAACAACTGCAACAACAGAGTGATAATGGTGATTACTATCACCCGCTATGCGTAGCAGGACAATTACCCCCTGGGCAATCACCCCCGGAAACTTACCCCCCCCCCCGAAAAGAACCCCAAGGACGATATTCCCCCAGAAAATTACCCCCCCCCCGGAAAATTACCCCCGAGGACAACTACCCCCCCCCCCCGAGGATTTGTAACACTGTGACGTATAATGCGAGCTTTTCTCCAAATTGCTAATGGCAGAAAGTTTTATAAACTCTCATTTTCCTTGTTATTTATGATGTTCATTTCAGTCTTTTCAAATAATTCAATTCGATGTGTGTGGGGGGGGGGGGGGAGGGGTTGCCCAATTCCCCCGTAGTTTTGCTATCGAGTAAAGAACAGAAATTACATTTCTTAGAAATTTAACAATACATTGCGCGAAGATGAGTTCGCGTTACAGCCTCTCCCGCCAACAATGGCACAACAAAGAAATTAGGATGTAAAATTTCATTTATGCATCCTCTGTAATTTTTGCGATCAGTTAATCGTGTATTTGTCTTTGTATGAATAATGGGCCCTCATCCTTGATCCAGAATTAAAGTTTTTTTACGGTATCTATGTATTTCTGTTGTCATGCTAAAGTATAATATGTTTTCTTGTACGTTGCCATGTCAAAAGAAAATAAATATCCGCTCTCTGGTAAATCATCTCATTTGATTTGGTAACTCAAGCACAGCATTTTTCAAGCGGGGTGCCGCAAGAGAATGTTACATTTGGAAAACGTTGATTTTGTGAAAAACAAATATCAGAAATGGTTAGTGTATGTAATTACATGAGAAAAAAAAAAGAAGTCTCTGCCTTCCTCGCTCGCTAAAAATATTGAAGGTACCTCACTCATTACGTTTAAGAACATGATTAACGAGGGCAACGAGAGGCCCGAATATTCTAATATATTCGTGTATCAAGGTCATGACCGAATACATCACTTTTTATTCATGTACATTCGGCGGCCTCGGGGGTAATTGTCCACGGGGGGTAGTTATCCTCGGGATCGTAATTGTCCTCGGGGGGGGGGGCGGTTGTCCTCGAGGTAGTAGTCCTCGGGGGTAATTGTCTTCGGTGGGTAATTGTCCTCGGGGGGTAATTGTCCTCTGGGGTAGTTGTCCTCGGGGGGTAAATGTCCTGGGGGGGGGGTAGTCGTCCTCGGGGTAATTGTCCTCGGGGGAAATTCTCCGGTGGTAATTCTCCGGGGGGTAATCTTCCGGGGGGGGGGGGTAATTTTCCGGGAGGGTGATTGCCTAGGGGGTAATTGTCCTAGAACCCCCGCTATGTAATCATAAATGTTTGATAAACGCAATAAACTGGTGAGGTCGCCAAAGGCTCCTCACATGATATAAACATTATATGTTACTTTTAATCTTCATTTTAATTTCTGGTCATGGTTATATTTTCTTTGTAAGTATTTGTTTCAATGTGATAAGGTTCGCTGCGGTTTAAAGGTACCGATGCTTGGATCTAGTGACATAAATCTTTGCTTTAGAAAGAAAACATAATGTATTGCTTATATTTCGTGATAATGGAGACGTTGCAGGAAATGGAGTTGATATCACAGATGTATTCTTTCTATATCATGATTTTCCACAGCATTATGGAGCCTTTGCAGGAAATCGAGCTGATATCACTAGCTGAAGACATAGGTCCGGGCAAATACTCAAAACTGTGCAACAGTCTTGGGTATTCCTATGCAGTAAGCCAATCACACATCGTCAAACATCTCAACAACGTCAATGAAGCTCTGGTAGAACTCCTCATCAAATGGAATTACAACCAAAGAGACGGCACCGAAACTCGATCCATATTAGCAAGCAAGCTCCGTGAATTACGACTTGTTGAATTAGGTGAAAGACTATCAGAAGGTAAAATTTTGTTTGAATTACACTGGGTTCAAAGTTATATAGGTCCTTGCTTTGAATCAAGCTGTTTATTATCTTGCTCATAGTTTTTCAAAGTGAACGTCTTTCCTATGTGATTTTCAATGATAAACCGTTATAGGAAATGTGCGTAAGACGCTGCATCCCATATACAACAAATCGGGCCCAAATTTCGACCGGGAAAACTCCCTAAAACTCGCAAAAGTCGGGGAAATAATTGGTTTGACATGCCACGTTACTCCGGAACATTAATTTATAAATACATTAATGATCATTTCAAAATGCTGTCATTCTAACCATTACTATACCACGCCTGACTGATATTACTACTACTCTAATACTACTACTACTTCTTCTATTCTACTTCATCTACTACTACTACTACTACTACTACTACCTCCACTACTACTACTACTACTACCAGGGGCGTACGCAGGGGGGGGGGGGTGGGGTTTTGGGGGTTCAAACCCCCCCCTTTGGTATTTTTATGTGTGTAAACCCCCCTAAAAAACTAAACCCCCCCCCTTTGTTTGTTTTTTTTAATAAAAAAAAATATATATATATATACCCACGGCTAACGTAAGGTGACCTTACCCCCCACCCCCCCCCCCAAACGAAGAAAAATGTCAAATTTCCAAATTTCGAGACCAAAAAAAAAAAAAAAGTGTCCGCTTACCCCCCCCCCCCCCCCCCCCCGGGTTTAAATAATTTAAATTTTGAGAAACGATTACTGACATCACTTAAAACTATCGTTTCTTTTGAAGTGATTGTCATCATCCTTCACAATCGTTTGAGTTGCTTCTTTCCTTCATTTTTAATATTGGACCCCTATGGAAACCAGTTCTTATTGCAAGAGTGTTCCAGCCTATGGTACAATAAATAAAATAATACATTGTACATCCCATACAGGTAAATATATACCCAACCAGCAGGACTCACATGACCACGAGAAGACTCCAGTGCAGACTAGCCCAGGTAAGATTGTGATATATTGCCATATTTATTCTAATTTATTATTTGCGTTTTTTGTGCTCCTTATTACTTTCTTCTGGATAAGCATAACGAGTAAAAGATTAACCTTGATTTACACTTTGGGTGCCTTCTCTGCCTGTCTGCACTGTTGCACACTTATAAACACCATGCAACAAATAGGGTAATCCAAATGTGGAAAATATGAAATGAGACATTATTTGATGTAACCCTATATTTTAATCAATACATTGTAAAAAGGATCATCTTTATGATTGTCTTAGTACGCTTTGCATTTGTCTATTATGATTCATTTGTGATTGAATCTTATTAGATAGATATCAATGGGGTTTGAACAACACCTCATGACAGAAGGAATATTAGCTTTAAAAGTAAAGACCGGTAGTGGGAAAATTGTGGTTCAAGGGTTGTGGGTGCAAACTACCCATTCGATAATGTTGAAGTGCATTCGGGATATCTATCCAGGTCGGATCGATATGATAAATTACCAAATATATTAATTAGTAGGCAGTTTCCCGGCAAATTTGTATCATCACGTATTAGTCAAAACATATTCTTTCACATGATTGGTAATACGAGCTTTCACTTTATTTTTTGAGAGGGGGCGTTCCAAAATTGGTCTATACCTTTAAGGTTATATCACTCATATCAATTTCGAGTGAGCGTAGCGAGGCATATAGCTTCAGGGAAAGTCGAGAAAAAATGTCCTCAGTTGCTTTGAATTAGAAGAACATGTGCCGGGGTTATTGGAAATAATTTGTTTAGGTAGAGGATCGTGGCAAAACAACATGGCTGGGAACTAATTGTGATTTTGTCTACCCTAGGATTCTCTCACGCTGACCTTAGCTATTAAAGGTAATACAAAGTTTCGGTATGGGGTCATGAATTTGGTTCAAATGAACATATTGGAAGCTTATGCGATCATACAATAATCAGTGACCGTTGTCGCGGTTGAAATCGTGTCTAAAGTAATGAAATAGTAAAATAATAAATTATTTTTGTTGTATAGCTCCCTCTCGAGTTCAAGATATTAATTAAGCTATAAAACAATGTTTCTTGACTATAATCGACAGATTAGCTATTCTCGTTTGGAAATTATATATCAAACACATTTTCTGAGATTTTCATGGTCGCAGCTACCATTGAAAATTATTATTATTATTTGAAATTCATCAAAATTTACCGGGAGCACCGGTAAATATTTATTTCCAATTTTTTCTGTTTTAGGGGCTGAATTTTTTGGTGCTTATAATACATCCACAGGGGCATCAAAATATATCAAAATTGTAAAGAATCACTATCCATCAAATTTTTAAAATTTCCCAAAACTTTGTGTTACCTTTAAGCCTACGATGAGTTGATGAAAGAAGAGTTTGAATGATTATTTTAACCTCAACCCTAATATTGAGACGGATTGATAGTCGGTATAGAAAATGTCCTGACTCCATTTTGTTTTAAATGATATTGAGCTCTTTGCTTTTTGTATAATTATATAATTAAAACGGGAAATGTTTTTTTTTGCTTTGAACATGTTTAATTTTGTAATTTAAGTTTGTAGTTGGGATATCGATACAAACCTGAGAACATTTTCGACTTTAAATTATTATTTATTAATAATTAGGCCTTGATGCAGGCTGCGCCTAGTGCATAATGCGCACCCTCCAACTGCTCGCACCAATAAGGGTGCACATTTAGATACTGCACACTCAAATGAGCAGATCAACACCCTCTGCCAAAATACACGTAGGTGGGTGCAAATCTGCTTCCCAATTGCACCCCTATTTTGCACAATGACTTATATCAATAGAAGGGTTACTATAATTCATGAAAATAAGCACGATCATATTGTAAAATAAGGCGCGCTTTTCATTCCTATGATATTGCGGGCATTGTGGCCCCTGCCCCGGCTAACAAGTAGGTACCTGTTTACATAGCTGCTCCGATTTCTTGAAGCTGGGCGGAGCTCTTTAAATGAATGCAAACGGGCCAATATTTAAGCGTCAATTTAAATATATACATGAAAGGCACCTATCAGGGGGAAATATTTGAATGGAAAAGAATGGAAATGGAGCTATTATCAAAAGCAGCAAGGAGAACCTATCATACTTAAAAAGGAAGAATTATTAGATTTGGAAAGGGGCATCCACCCAAAGTGAAAGGGGACTCTATTAAAATGAAGAAAAGGGGCACTTGTCAGAAGCTGAAAGGGCACGTACATGTATAAGAAGATGTGGGGATTTTTTAAAAGTAAATAGTGCACTTATTGGAAACGGAAAGCGTCAATTATCACTCTAGAATAGGAGCACTCATCAGGGTACAAATGGCCACTTATAAGAAGAATAAGGGGCACTTACTAGTAATGAAACCAATTAGTAAGGGGCACCAATCACATGTCGGAAGCGACAATTAGTACAAATGAAATGGGTCACTTGACAAAGTAAAAGGGGGCACTCATCACAAATAAAAGGGGTCTTTCGTAGCAAGGATAATTTTCAGGTACTTGAAAAGGTGGGGGCAGTACACCCCCTCCCGGAGCACTACCTCTGGCAATGCATCGCAAAAATGAAACCGGCATTGCCAGGCAAAAACTAGGTTCATAGGCCATTGCCTCGACCGTATTCTTGAAATGTCTTGTTTTCTCCGGTTTTCTTCTTTTCTTTGTTATTATACTTCTTTGTAAATAGGTTTTCAAATTACCTATACTTCGATCGTCAAGATCCTACTTCTCTGCTTAAGCACAACAAAGATACTCTAACATTCTATCCTACCCCAGCATACAATCTGAGAACAATAATTGGTACTTTACAATGATGAATGCAGACCTGCTGAAATACTGAATTGATTTACTGTCACACTATAAAGAGGCTATGGCCCGGATTCACAAAGGAGGTTTGTCGACAAACCTAGGTTTATATGCGTCATATGAGACGTTTCGATGCGTTTCAGCCTAAGGTTCAGACAAAACTTGGTCTGAAACGCTTTAAAACGCGTCACACGACGCAATAAACGTAGGTTTGTCTACAAACCCCCTTTGTGAATCCGGGCCTATATGTTCATAATCAGTTTATTAATCTTATTTTTCTTTTGTGTATGTTCCCCATAGGTATGGCGGCTCATGAAGGTATTGCCAATGACCTTATCTGCAAGCTGGCTGAGGACATCGAGACGGGTGAGCAGATGGAGGCCTTAGGACGAACACTGGGATTCAAGTTCGCAGAAATCAATAGATACACAGAGACCAATAGGATAGAAGGAAGGGTGACTTGTAAGGGAACACGTGATATGCTGTTTGACTGGAGACAGAATGTGAAGCCTTGCAACCAGCATCCCAGGCTGAAACAAGCTCTCATTGACGCTAAGCTGGTAATGCTTGCGGATACATATCTCAGGGGGACACCAAGTAATCCAGGTGGGTATACTAATGGTAGAGTGTGTGTAATTGGGGTTTTACAGACGTGTATCAATCAAATATGATTATTTACGTCTACCATCCTAACGTCCTAATCATTTGTTTATTTGTTTATTTGTTTGTTTGTTTATTTATTTAAATACAGTGATTAAAAAAAACATGCTTTCAGCTTAGCATAGCTGTTTTTCAGCATGTCCGTACATGGTACATTAAAAATACATATGAATAAACAGACTAAACACATATTTAAACAATAACAAATACATAATATTAAAATAAGTAAATGTAAATAAGAAAACAATACATATTTAAAAAAAACAGGAATATAATGCCAGTTTAACTGGCATTATATCTCTTTTTTTTTTAACCGGTCAAGATTTTCCCAACATAGTAGTCGGGCAGTTGGAGGGTAATATCTTTGCCCAAAGTTTGGTCAAAATACGAAACAATCCTGCATGTTTGAAGTAGGCTATTTACGTTTACCAATACCACTGGGCAAAATATTGCCCAATATAGGGTTGGGTTGACTATTGGCACAACGTTGGGCAAAGTGTTGGAAAAATATTGTCTAACCTTTTCAAAGTGTTTATTTAAGGAAAATGAACGATCATTTAAAGTACTCGTAGACTGGGTAACACGTGTTGGTGTTTTAACTTGTTGATGAAAATTATACCCACGAGCAATTTGTAACAATCGTTTAGTATGACAACTGGGGTTATTCTGTAACAAGTCACAGTTTAAGTCACCAATCAACAGATAGTCCAAGGATGTGGCTTCCACATTTTTAAAGACAATTTCAAGCAAATCAAAAAACAAGAATACTTGAATCGGGGGGCATATACCATATGCATGGAATAAGTATTTTAATAAAGGGTTTTGATGAGATATATTAACTTGAATACATAGCGATTCAAGATAATTTGATTGTAGCATGACAAGAGTGCACTTTACATGACAAAGGTAGGAGAACACGGTCATAATACAAAAAGTAAACAATGCAAATCGAAAGTGAGAGATCGGGGGTACAGAAAATAATACAGGATGGGTTTGCATGTGGGGTTGAAAAGAAGAGAGGAAGAAGAAATACGCACTAGATAGAAGATGTGCATGAGAGGGCACAACATAATATATCAAACTAGATTTTTAAGTCAGCGAGTAGAGAATGACACTGTTCCAACGCCAAAGAAAAAAACATAACAAAATAGTTTAAAAACTTTCTAGGCCTTAAATTTATTTGAAAGAGGCAAACCACCATAATTCATGTAATTCAAAGAAAATTATAAAAAAGGATTACCCCCCCCCCCCAAAACCTTGGAAAGAGGTAAGTAGATCATCAGAGTCACTATGAACATGACTGACAAAGAAAGCGGACAAAATATACAGTTCCTCAGGTAGACAAAGGAACATCCCTTCACTGCTATTGTGTAAAAATGTGTAGAACAGGTGTCACATGCATATTCACCTGTTCTACACATTTTTACATAATAGCAGTGAAGGGATGTTCCTTTGTCTACCTGAGGAACTGTATATTTTGTCCGCTTTCTTTGTCAGTCATGTTCATAGTGAGTATAATAAGACATTTAGTTTTGTATATGCTTGTATCATTCCAGGTATCTACAGCAAGACGATCTCGGCATCACTGACTGTTCAGCGATGTCGCGAAAAGTTAGAGAATAAGTACCGAGATCAATTGTGCAGAATTCAAATGAAACCGTGGGATCAAAGTGATTATGCTGAGTTCGAAGACATGCACACGGTTGTCACAATGGTGAAGAAGGACGCTAGCGGACAAGACACGAAAAAGAAGGAAATACTCCAGGGTTCTGTTGCTGAAATATTTTCAACGAAAGTAAACGGAAGACTTCCAGCTCGAATCCTCATTTCGGCACCAGCTGGACGAGGGAAGACCACGGCTGTTGCTAAGATGGCTTACGACTGGGTTCACAAAGAAAAGGGGTCAGCATTAGAACACCTGCCACTTCTGTTTGTTGTAAAGTTTCGAAACACAGGTCATCTCACATCGATCGGAGAAGCCATCAAATCCCAGCTTTTGAGTGATGTTGAGGATCTCACACCAGAGGGTCTGGAGAGTTTCATTAGAGAGAATCAGGGTATCTGCCACATCATACTAGACGGACTAGATGAATATGCGGGTATTTCTTCTTCCCAGCGAATCTCAGAGAGTAACATTTTCCGTGTGATCCGTTTGGAAGAATTTCCAGAGTGTCGAGTCCTTGTAACAACACGCCCTCATCTAGAGTACTTCTTTGATCAAGCGGAACTTCCAAGGGTATACACAAAGATGTGGATAGAAGGATTCTCACAAGAGAGCTCACGAGAGTACATCGACAGATTCTTTGCTTCAAACTCGAATCCTAATAATAGCGGACATGATTTGAAGATTTACCTTGACGGCCAACCACTGATTAATGAACTTGTTAAAACACCGTTATTTTGTCTAATGGTGTGTCACTTATGGAGTGAGTGCCTACTGGACAGTGATACTACTACTCAAACAGAATTACTGGACAGCGTGAATGTTTTCTTAGCGCACCATGCAAACACCCGATCAAAGTCAAGAGTAAAAATCACACCCGATGAGTTAAGGGAGATAATATCTCATTTAGGCAAAGTTGCCCTTACTGGTCTGCTCGACGATGCTAAGAAACTAGTCTTCACGCATCATGATTTTCGTAGAGCTCCCGCAATCCTTGATAGGGCATGTGAGCTTGGGATAGTATCCAAGACAACTGTTTCGGTCACAGGCCTTCCTCAGCCCAACGAGACAACTTTCAATACCATTGAGTTTTATCACAAACTCGCTCAGGAACACTCAGCTGGGAAATACCTCGCTGCTAAAACAAAGAAATATATGTTACGACTGAAGATTTCAAAGTTGGACAGACTTCTACAGAAAATCAAAGCAAACATCGGTGACTATGAGAATCTCATCCGATTCGCTGCCGGCACGGATAATAGACTTTGTATACGAATAATGGAGGCGCTCCTTTCCAACAGCTTTTTGGATGAGAGTGAGCGATATCGAATTCTCCTTGACTGCTCATCAGAGACCAGCGGTACTGAAGGAAATGTGTCATCATTGGTTCAAAGATGCGTGAATGCGCGGAGTATTGTTCTAAAGTCACCCACCGTGTACACTGTCGTTGGGATGCAAAATCTTCCGAAGCAACTGAAGCGTGAGGTATGCGCATTTTCATTTGATAAGCATTTTAACACTGATCATTTCAGAAATCTTGTTTTAATTTTCATTTCTTTGCCATATTCATAAGTCGAAGAAGCATCTATTTAAAAATCATTCATCATTTATAATCAAAGGCATGGACAAAAATAAATGTATTAATAAATTACTCATAAAATGTAAATAAATATGAGAAAAAGAGTTACTTAAAGCCCCCATCACACCAAACTAGTTCTCACTTCGTTCTGGAACCGTCCTAGAAAATAGTTTAACGGGTTGTGGTCGGGGTAGAATGTGTAAAAATGACTAAAATATGATACTAGTTTGTTCATAAACAGTCCATCTCGTCTGTACCCCGTCCACAGTCAGTTCATATCAAGTTCAGATCTGGTAAATTTGCCATTCCAGGCAGTCCAAGCCAACCCGTAGTCAATTGAAACCCGTTATCAACTAGTTATACCTCGTTTCAAAACAAACGAACCCATTCTAACTAGTTTAGAGACAGTTCGGCTCGTTCTCATCTCGTTCTCAGTGCGTTCTAACGCGCTTCTAGGGTGTGCAATCACGTCCTCGCTCAAGGGTCATAAAACCCGAGCGCGTTCTTTCCATTCCTTATTCCCGTTCAACTTCAACGATTCAAGGTGTGCTGCGCAAGACATTCAAGTGAAGCCCCATCACACCAAACTAGTTTTTACTACGTTCGGTAAAATGTTGTCAAACGTGCTCAAACCATGCGCGGACGGAATGAACAAAGTAGAAACTGTTTAAGATCTGTTTAAGCACTTTATGGACGGCCTCGGACTGGCTTGGACGGGAAGGGTGCTCTAGAACTTTGAGCCTGTTCAAAATTTTCCCCGTCCGACAATTAGACTGAGTGACAACGTACTTAAAACGAGATGGACGTACTACGAACGGAATCGCCGTACTTTGGTCCTACTACGTATTACAACATGACTTGGTCGAGCATCAATTAGCAGTAATATAATTGAACGGAAATGAGGAATGGCAAGAACGCGCTGGGTTTGTACAGCCCTCGTGCCTATAGGGGCGCGTTCGAACGCACTAAGGACGAGACGGGGACGAGATGAACTGTCCCTGAACGGGGTGGTCGGGTTACAAGCTAGTTAGAACAAGTTGCGAACTAGTTAGAATGATTTGGACGTATTGGGAACGAGGTAGAACTAGTAAAGAACTGGTTTAAACTGAATACAGACGGGCTTGGGCTACCTGGCAATGGCCAATTCACCCGATATGAACTTGACACAACTGAATGTGGACGGGGTACAGACGAGATGGGCGTATTGAGGACTGTTTATGAACGATCTAGGATCGTACAGTAGACATTATTTACACATTCTTCCCTGACCATTACCCTTTTTTAAAGATTTTCTAGGACGGTTTAAAAACGTTGTGTGAACTAGTTTTGGTTTGATGGGGACTTATAGTGCTCCAAATAATGCTCGACCACAAGCATGATCTTACCTGCCGATTCCTCTCACTTCACGAACGTTCGTGCAAGAGTAGTCCTGAATCTGGCCGGTTCTTTGTATTCCCTTACCTAGCCATTCTACCGCTGCATTTGATTGGCTCAAAAGAACTAATACGTCATGTGCTAGTCATAAATATTCATGATACGCACGCACACAGAATCTGATTCGATAATTTATCAAATAATGATATTTCATACACAAATTACAAGTGCACAGCTATGTTTACTTAAAATAAATGACATTGCGAGAACATCGGGAGGCTTATACCGTAAACCAATGACTGCCAATGTCGTAACTTGTCCATAATCATTGCGACAAACTGGTTAGTCCAGAATCCAGCAGATTTATTTTGCGATCTCCACCACATCGTACCAGCGCACATATCCAAATATCAATATGCAGCGCTAGGATGGCTAGGTTAGGAAAACAAAACAATTTATAGATAGGAGCATCAGATAAGAGCCGCATCAGTCCACTCGCGGACGAATATCGTTCAATCATTGGACATCGTCAGGTATACAGTGCGTCCGAGAAAAAAACGAAACCGAGAATTATAATAACATGTTTTATCATGACTTAATCACAGTGATGATTAATAAATGACACGTATTTGTAAAGCTTAGATCCTCCCTTTTCATCTAATGCAATCTATATGCTGCATATTTCACACATGGGTGATTACAACAATTTGAAGAGAGGAAACCAAAAAGTCCTATGTCGGGCGGTATCTGAATTTCAATAGGAAAATCACATTTCTAGAAAGTTCTTTTTTTGTTGCCCTTTCGTATGACACCTCAATCAGGAAAAATGAGCTAGGAATAACAAAGTTCTATTTGTTTAAAGTAGTGCTTGCATTTCCATAATTTGATTAAACGAATTCGTTTTCACTGGCTGCCTGCCGTAGCGATAAACATAGTTGACAAAAGACTGAACTCCATTTCGTTGACGATCACGCATCAAGTCCCTCGTATTCGTTGTTAATTCGGTGACGCTATTGACAATTCAGCTGTATTACGATCGTTTTCGGGGTCTTGGGTTATTTCGTAAAGTTTAATCAACTTTTAAAATTTTCGCTCGAATTACAAGTTAAACAAATGTGATATTCTTACTCAGTGTAAGTTTTCGAATGCAATGATACCAAATTCAGTCAAATTCAAAATCAATGAACCTTCTCTTTAATATTCTTAAATAAAATCAGACTACAATCTCGATCGCCTTATCTCCATTAACTATATTATAGCTATTTTACTCCCCAAATCTTTCATTCTCTCTCTCCTCCCTCCTCTGTATATCTCTTTCTCTATCTTAACACTAGGTTACGACACTAAAGTTCGAGGGTTCTACTTTAAGTATCGACGTGACGAGTGGACTATGGTCCTGCCTCAGATCCTTTACTTCACTGATCCAGCTCAGCATCTCCGACTCCTCTCTCAGTTTCCCTACATCTCCCCCTGAGCTTCCATCCATCACAGAGCTTTCAGCCGAAAGAGTGACGTCACAAAGCTATGAAGGTCTACTCTCATCGCTTCCTGGCTTGAAAAGGGTCGATATCACTATCGGAGATGAACAGAGGGAAAACATATCTCAGATCCAGATTAGTCTACGTCGACATCTCACGGAACAGGATCTCACACGCATCAACCCCCATTCCTTCCCACCAGAGGGGAATGTATTAAGCATGTCAAGACAGAAGATGAGAGGACTGGGTTTTCTTATCACAGAATGTCAGGCGATATTGTCCGGAGTTGCTTTCGGACTCGGGGGTGCACTGATCGATGTTGTCCAGTCTTCAACGCGTTTAATGTCATCTAGTCTGTATTTTGAACAGTGAGTATATGTTATGTCAAGTAAAATTGATTGAATGTTTTTCATCACCCCCCCTCCTAGTTTTTCCCTCATTTGGCATTGATAAGGGCCTTTTATTTCATCGGCTAATTTGATGTGTTAAACCAGTCCATTATTCTCCAAAGTATCCACCTGAAGCCAATTCAACTTGGATAAAAGAGTCCTTGAGTATCAACAATGATACTGGTGTTATGTTAAGACAGAGGTCATGTTTTTCTCTTCTCTTTTTTCAATACGACGATAAAAAGAACCGGCGCTCAGTCGCAAGGCTAAACAAAATATCATCACTAATGAATACAGAGTATTCTCAACGTCTTGAAGAATATTTCAAAGCAGATAATATAAAAAAATATGCTCTCAGAAAGATAAACGAATAATGATGTTTAGCCTTAGAAGAAAGTCAGTTGACTTCGGAAAAATGTAAATCGGTTCAATTATGTAATGTTATTTACATATATTTATTAATTGGCTACTTGTCCCCCCCCCCCTCACACTTTTCATTCTCTTTCAAATTATAAAGGTTTTCCAGGACGCTAAAATCCGATGAACTAGCATTAAATGTAAGTACGCTCTAATTTTACATGTCCATACGCCTCATCCATTTGAGAAAGCATTTCACACTTCCTACTGAATAGGAATTGGAGTATCAGAAATAGTATTTCTTTGAAACAATGAATTTACTTCAGTTTGGTCTGTATACATATACCACTCTTTACAATATACATTGTCAGATTTCGTTATACTAGAAATATAATTATATTGACGATGCACATTTAATTTGCAATAAACATTAGTACATTAAATTTGTTGAATGACTTTGGTTCGCTTGTAGTTATTTGTTTATTGAAAATTAGTTTAAAAAATGAGGATTGGGAAATAGGAATATTGAGGGGTCTAAAGTAAAAGTCTAGCATGTTGGCTAAAGGCCATGTAGCATATTACAAATTATAATTCTAACAAAGTTGTGGGAAGGAACTAAATGCAGTTGAAAAATGTATACGGTAGGTATCATTTCGCTATTATAGCGTATATTTTAGCTATTTTATATTAAAAATTAGAAAAGAAATGAAATGTGCCAAACGATTAAGATAGAAAATTGTATAGCTTCGAAAGGAATTAAGATTGACAAAATAATCATGTAGGTTCTTAGCGCGTGCCGATCGATGAGTTCAAATGATCTGTAGGATTCTAGGAAGTTTTGGTCAATGCTGTTTCTTTTTCTCCTTTCCTCTCAAAACCATCGATATCTTTATTTAATGAAAATTATTCCTAATTGAATTTTTCTAATTATTAACAATGTGGATTTTTTAAATTTTTTTGATTGCTTTTGAGATGAAATTTCAAAAAAATCTCAATAATTATGGGTGATGATAGGTTTACAGGATAAATTTTAACTCTATTTCTGAGAGAGAACGGATTTCGTGCGGCTCTCTAATGTAATGATGTAACAATGACGACCTGTTCTTTTTGTATGTCATCATAGATTGACACATTGAAAATCAAGGATTGCCAGCTATCTACTGAGATGACTGATAAGTTGTGGTCCTGTCTCAGATCCTTCACCTCACTGACACAGCTCAGCATCTCAGATTCCTCTCTCAGTTTCCATCCATCTCACCCGGAGCTTCTATCAGTCACAAAGCTTTCAGCCGAGAGAGTGACGTCACAAAGCTTCGAAGGAGTGCTCTCATCGGTACCTGGTGTGAGAGATATCGATGTCTCTATCGGGGTTGCAGAGACGAGCAACACCTTTCAGATCACCACCGCGTCGACCTCCAGACCTATTGGTCAGACCGGGATTACGGATGAACAGTCCTTCGTTCATATCAGACTGCACGCCTGGCCAGCACTCACCACAGACATGAATATTGATTCAGGCGAGTCAAATGGAGGACTTAGTCTTCTATTTCGAGATCAAACCAAAGAGCAACAGCGGCTGCATGTGTCCGGGATGAAAGGCAGAGACGAAGAGGCCTTGGTTGACTTGTTTGTTAGGACTCAACAACTAACGTCCTTGAATTCGGGGTATGTAGACCTAGATCTTAATTCGTGTACAGATATTTGTATTCATGTTGCTTTTTAAAATGACATGAACACAAACTATTATATTAACATTTATAATTATTGATGTTCGTTTTATCATTGCTATTACTATCACTTTTATAAGAAGATTATTATCATAATTGTTATTGCTAGTATTGTTGTTTTCAAAATTGTCTTTATAGCCTCTTTTATTCTTTATAAATGTGAAATAATGTCTCAATAATGGATTGAATCATATTCTTTCCCTCGTTCTTGTGATAAATATTCCTTGTAGGAGTGGATGTGGTTCTCTTAGCGACACAGACGCCATCCAGGTGAGTAGAATTTTGTAAAACGGGTGCATGCATTTCGCTTTGAAAAATTCGAGAAAGGGATGTTCTTTGCACTAAACTAAGACAATTGCAACAAAGTAACATTGTTTGTTTGTTTTTGAAAAAATACAATCAATTATCGCATTGTGAATTTAGATGGTTCAATAGTAATTGCATTTTCAACTTCACTGGTGTTGAATTATATCTGCCTACATTAATTATCAATATTTATGTGTGCATTTCATTGTAGAATACTAGGCTTAATATACAGCAGTGCCAGCTATCTACTAAGATGACCGAGAAGTTGTGGTCCTATCTCAGATCCCTCACCTCACTGAACCAGCTCAGCATTTCGGACTCCTCTCTCAGTTTCCCTCCATCTCCTCCTGACCTTCCATCCGTCACAAAGTTATCAGCGGAGAGAGTGACATCACAAAGCTACGAAGGTCTGCTCTCCTCGCTTCCTGGCTTGGAAGAGGTCGATATCACTATCGGAGATGCAAATGCAGAAGACATATCTCAAATCCGGACTAGTCTACGTCGATATATGACGGGACAGGAACTCACATGTAACAACCTCAATTCCAGTACATCAGAGGGGGGTGTATCAAGCATGTCGAGAAAGAGGATCAGAGGACTGGGTCTTCTCATCGCAGAAGGTCAGGCAATGATGTCGGGAGTAGTTTTCGGCCCCAAGGAAACAGTGATCGATCTTGTCCAATCTTCAACGCGTTTAATGTCAGCTAGCATGTATGCAGAACAGTGAGTTACTGTTTTGATTAAAGTTTTCTATTCCCTACTGTTTTCTCCTCAATTTTGTACTGATATTCGCATTACCGTGCACCAGTGTTAATTACCTAAGTATCAACCTGAAGTAAAATCATTGAGTTTTTGTTTAGACAAAGGTCATATAATATATCATCCCAATGTTTTAAAGCAGATTCCTAAACAATAATTAATATAATAATGCTCTCAAAAAAAAACATTTACCATCTGATCATTAATGGATTTAGCCTTAGAGAAAAATTTGTTGAATTTCGAGAAAAAAATATAGGTTGTGTAACTAATATTTCCTGGGTCAGTAAAGTTCAGGAACACTCGGCTGGGAAATTCTTAAAAACAAGCCATTGTTAGGACCGCTCTCTGTGAATGGATATAATTTGAAGGGCAAAACTGGCTTTCACATTATTATTATTCAGATCCAAATATTTAAAACTTTTTACTCAATAATATTAGTACATGAACCGTACAATATTCGCTGTAAGATTATTCTAGGACACACGTACGACGAGCCATAGAAATATGTTGAATAAGACTAGATGTTGTCAACATGTTAGTCGTAATTTGTTATTCACAAACGTTTAAAGTGGTTGCATGTTATCCTTACTTCTACATCTCTCTTTGAATTTAATGTAGGTTTTCTAAGTCACTGAACTCCGATCAAGATGCATTGCCTGTAAGTATACTTTATTGTTCATACCTGTTAGGTACGCCTCATTTGTTTCGTAATATTTAAGAAAGCAATTCCTTACGAAAAGGTGATTAAAGTATCACAAATAGCATTTCTCTGAAGAAAAAAAGGGAATTTTTAGTTTAGTTCGGTCTTTATTCATTAATCATATTTCACGTCACACATTATATAATTTCGTGCATGCCAGTAATATAATTATACTAGCAGTACACGGGTATTTGCAATGAACATGACTTCCGAGTTGGTCTGCTTATAGTTATTGTGAGTAGAGAACTAAATTAAAAAAAAAAAAAATTAGGATATTACAGGGCCTAAGGTAAGAAACCTTTGCCCCGTAGCATAACACAATCATAAGTCTAAACACAGTTGTGGGGACGAACAAAGAACGGTTAAAAACGCATTCAAAATGATAATTTTCTTTTTATAATGTACATTTTGCCTATCTTTAATTACAAATAAATTATATCGGTATAACGATTTTGATAGGAAATTGTAGCTAGGAAATTAATTAAGATATAGTCATAAACGCGTGTCGATCGATATATCAGGTTGAGTTCAAATAATTCGAGGATTTGTATTGATGATGTTTTTAACTTTTCCTTTCCTCTCCAAACGATCGATACCTTTCTTTTCAGTAAGAAATGTATTCGTACTCTCCTCCCTTTTATACAATTTGTATTTGTTATGTTGTGTAACAATGGCGACTTATTCTTTCTGTATGTCATCATAGATTAAAATATGGACAATCAAGGACTGTCAGCTATCTACCGAAATGACCGTCAAATTGTGGTCCTGTCTCAGATCCTTCACCTCACTGAAACATCTCAGCATCTCAGACTCCTCTTTCAGTTTCCCTGCATCTCCTTCTGAGCTTCCATCCGTTACAAAGTTATCGGCTGAGAGATTGACGTCACAAAACTACACAGGTCTGCTCTCATCGCTACCTTGCTTGAAAGAGGTCGATTTCACTATCGGATATGCAAATACAGAAGACATATCTCAGATCGAGACTAGTCTACGTCGACATCTGACGGGACAGGACCTCACGCGCATCGACCCCCAATCCATTACTTCAGAGGGGAATGTATCAAGCAAGTCGATAAAGAGGATGAGAGGACTGGGTCTTGTCATCACAGAATGTCAGGCGATATTATCCGGAGTAGTTTTCGGACCCAAGGAAACAGTGATCAATCTTGTCCAGTCTTTAACACGTTTAATGTCAGCTAGCCTGTATGTAGAACAGTGAGTAACTGTTAAAGGTACTATGTCCCATTTGCAGGCCAAACAATTGAAAAGGTTAAATTCCAACGGCATTTGAAAGATAATACTAATTTAGAACTTCCCTAAAAAAAGTGGTGCTTGAAAATATCTTCAAGTGGAAAAATAACGACTATTAGTTGTCAAATCGACTTAGGAGCTATAAAGCCAATAAGTAATAGTCTTGATTTCCAGACCATTGTACCGAATGGTCATACGTTTTATGCTGCGCAAAGATTCAAGCAGTTTAATTTTGGCCATCACAAGAAGTGGGTTATTGATGTAGACAAATGCTTATGTACCCTTTACAGCTCATTTTATGTATGTTATTACCAAAGAAGAAAAAAAAAGCCAGTCAGTCACTCAAAAGTGTCTGACAGTGAAGTCTAGCAAGTAAACGGGTTTCCTTGCGTAATTTGAATATTAGGACACTGCTAACGTTTACATTTCACAGATAGGACATACATGACATATTCATAATTCCTGCAAAGTTCTACATAATTTGAGGTTGGCTGCAAAAGGGACATAGTGCCTTTAAGCTAAGTTTATTGATTAAAGTTTTCTATTCCCTCCCGTTTTCTCTTTAATTGTTATTGATATGGGCATCACCGTGCATTTTATTCCATTCGCTAGGGTGATGCGTTAAACCAGTCCTCAAATATTCATGTTAATTACCAAAATATCAACCTGAATGGAATGATTTTGACAATGATTTAATCCTAATAGATCTAAATAATAGTAAACATTCTGAAATGTTAATGAATAATAACTTGCGAGTGTTTGTGTTGCGTGACTGATGAAGCACGTGTATGCTACTCTGTTTATCAACTATAGGGGACCTATGTCCTTAAATCATAACTGACGGTAATGAGGATTAATGCCTCACAAAAGGGCACTAATATAGATGATAGACACTGTTTTAATCCTGGGGCCTTACAGATACAAGGCCAATGCTTTGCCACTGAATCATGACTGTACGCAGCGGGGCGTGGGGTAGGGGGCAGCCCCCACAAATATTAAAATAAGAAAATAAAATGCAATAAATTATCAATAATTCCTTGCATTTTCCCCCAGTCCCCAACAGGACAAATTCCTCTGTGTGGCCATGCCTTGAACCATAATGTATGAATATTTCCTGTTGGGGACCGGGGGTGAAATGCAATGATTTATTGATAATTTATTGTATTTTCTTTTTTTCTTCTTTATTTGTGGGGGCTGCCCCATACCCTAGCCCCCGCTGCATACAGTCATGATTCAGTGGCAAAGCAATGGCCTTGTAACTGTGAGGCCCCAGGATCAAAACCATGTCGATGTGCTATATTACTGCCATTTTGTGAGGCATTAATTTTCATTACTGTCAGTTATGACTTGATGACGCAGGCCCCCTAGTTGATACGCATAGTAGCTAACACTAACTGTAGGAGTCACGCAAAACAAACACTCGCCAATTATTATTCAATAAAATATGAGACTGTATACTATTATCTAGATCTATTAGGAATAAATGATTGTAAAAATAATGCCATTAAAGAAAAAATCCACTTGTATGACTAACAGTGTATATATACATATATATCCTCTTGACGTTATCTAAACAGGAAATATAAAAATGCTCTTTACAAAATGATATCGATTTGATCATTCATAGATTTAGCCTAAGAGAAAAATTGATTGAATCTTGACAAAAATAGAAGTCTTTCAGTGAATTGATATAATTTCAAAGAAAAAAGCGGGTTTCACATTATTTTTGGCAGATCAAAATATTTCAAAAATTTTACTAATAATATTGGTATCAACAAATATTCGCTTTAAGAATATTTTAGGTCACACGTACAATGAGCCATATTAATATGTTGAATAAGTCTAGATTTGTCCTCAACTTTTAACATGTAAGTCGTAATTTGTTATTCACAAACGATTAAAGTGGTAACATGTTATCCTTATTTTGTCATCTCTTTTTGAAATAATGTAGGATTCCTATGTATCTAGACTCCGATAAAAATGTAAGTATGCTCTAATTGTTAATGCCCGTACACCTTATTTGTATCGTAATATTAAAAATTTTAAAAAATCGCACTTCCTACCGAATGGGTAATTAAATTATCAGAAATAACACTTCTTTGAAAAAAATGCAATGACTTCAGTTCAGTTCGGTCTATGTTTATAAAACATATTTTACGTAACACATATATATTTTCGTTCATGCCAGAAATATAAATATACTAGTAGTTTACATGTATTTGCAACGAACATTAGCATATACAATGTATTAAATGACTTTGGTCTGCTGGTAGTTATTGTGAATTCAGAATCAAATTGAAAATTGGACATGGGGATTTCTACAGGACCTAAGGTAAAAACATACCTCGTTTGCTGTACGCCCCGCAGCATTACATAATCACAAGTCTAAAACACAGTTGTTGGAACGAACAAAGAAAGGTTAAAAAAAATGCATTAAAAAGAATCATTTTCTTTGTATAATGTACAGCCTATCTTCTATTACAAATACATGATAATGGTTTAATGAAAGGAAATAGCGCTTTATAAGTAAATTGTTATTATTATTTATTATTATAATAACTTAATAATAATATGGGAAAATCATTCTAGTCCTAATGGGACTTTAATGCCTGGATTACATTTGTCCCGGGCGCCGTACGATAAATTAGTTTACGATTTTTCGTAGACATCGTAGGAGGCTACGGGCTACGATGTTTGTGTTTACATTATCTACGAGCATCGATGCCCGTGCGGGGATTGTGCAGTGCCACCTACGACATGTATACGGGCTACGGGCTTACGGATTTTTTCAAATTTGTTTAACTTCTCGCGAAACAAAATCGTAAAGGCTGCGGAGCCCGTGAATCCGTACGAAAATCTCACGACCGCCTCCTGCCTCCGCATAGAGACCGCACGCAAAAGGGGATACGGGCAGGATACGGGCTCCGTAGACTAATCGCCGGCGAAATGTAATCCAGGCATAACATATACACTCCGGGGCCCGTACGGCGAGTAAAAGTTGTGGGGACGAACAAAGAACGGTTAAAAACGCATTCAAAATTATAATTTTCTTTTTATAATGTACATTTTGCCTATCTTTAATTACAAATAAATTATATCGGTATAACGATTTTGACAGGAAATTGTAGCTAGGAAATTAATTAAGATATAGTCATAAACGCGTGTCGATCAATATATCAGGTTGAGTTCAAATAATTCGAGGATTTGTATTGATGATGTTTTTATATTTTCCTTTCCTCTCCAAACGATCGATACCTTTTTTTAAAGAAATGTATTCGTACTCTCCTCCCTTTTATACAATTTGTATTTGTTATGTTGTGTAACAATGGCGACTTATTCTTTCTGTATGTCATCATAGATTAAAATATGGACAATCAAGGACTGTCAGCTATCTACCGAAATGACCGTCAAATTGTGGTCCTGTCTCAGATCCTTCACCTCACTGAAACATCTCAGCATCTCAGACTCCTCTTTCAGTTTCCCTTCATCTCCTTCTGAGCTTCCATCCGTTACAAAGTTATCGGCTGAGAGATTGACGTCACAAAGCTACACAGGTCTGCTCTCATCGCTACCTCGCTTGAGAGCGATCGATATCACTATCGATGATGCGGAGAGAGACATACCTCAGATCAATGCTGGTCTTCGTCGGACCAGAGGACAGCCCCTCAAACACATCAGGCTTAAAGCACTGTCATCACTCCCATCAGAGAAGAAGAGTGCTTCGAGAGAGACGATGAGAGGATTGGGTCTTCTGATCGAAGAACAAACCAAGAACCTGCAGCGTCTACATCTGGCTGGGGTGGAGTCCTTGGATGAAGAAAGCCTGGTTGACCTCATCGAGTGTTGCAGACGCGTGAAGACGGTGTCAGATGTGTGGTAGGTTCTTGTTAGAACCGTGTTTAAAATAGGTTACAATCATACTAGACGATTCTAAAATAACTTATCAGGAGAGATATACATTAAATCTGATCCATAATTACAGTATTAAATTTGAAAAATAGGAGGCTGTACCCACGTCTAAACCGTTTCCTCCTTTCATGCATTCGTACCCTAATGTTTTACCACGGAAGACTGACTCAATAGGCTCTTCATGTATGCAAAAACAGCTTGTGATCGCATTATCATTAGAACCGACGGATGGATTTCTATCAGACTCAGGACACGTTTGTATCCTGCAGAGCCAACGAACCCATAATATTTTAGGGTCATGAGGTCATAGATCAAAAGATCATACATGTATATGAAATGAAGCTTTCAATCATGATATTATGAAAACCTGTTAATGGATTACAATCACACTTGAATAAGTTTTTACAAATTCCTTATGTTATGGTTTGTAAAACCGCTTTATGACTTTGCGGAGGCATCACTTTTGACTGCGCGCATCATTTTACGCGTGCATCGTCTATCAAAAAAACATCATGTTCTATATGCGGTGACAGGTACATGTATGTCTACCCGTCAGCTTTACCTCTTTTAATTTGGAATTCGTGCATTTTCGAAGCTTAAACAATTACTTATTTTGTCAGGGGTATTCCCCTTGGGGCTGTTTCAGCAACTAAAATTTATTTGGATTTTTAAAATAATTTTTAAGGAGGAATTAGTTTTAGCTTTAAACTTATGCTCGTGAGCTGTCTAATCAAATCAAATTGATTTCGATTATTTAGGCTTTAATGTAAAAGGGGGGGGGGGCTGACACGTACCCACACATCACTTCTTATAGGGGGACCTTCTCTCCCCCCCCCCCCCCGGAAATTCGAAAAAGTGCTCACAAACCAATTTATAGCAAATACTGACTAAAGATTGCAGCACACTTTAGGGCTTTGGAAGGCCAAAGGATGCAGCGTTTAGACTAATAATAGGGTGATCATACTGACTTTGCACACAGTCTGCCCCGCGAACACACACACACACACACACACACAACACCAGTCAGTTGGTAGAAATAGCAATTTTGGTAAATTTATTATAAAAAAAAAAAAATAATAATGTTATTTCACACATGTTTTAAGCATACCTTTAAAGATGAAGTTGAGTTCTGGTCATGCGATTGCATTGTGAAAGAAACGGTGTGGAATCGACCAGGAAGGGTTTATCATCTAGCATATAAGTATTTGTGTGTATTGCAAGGTTCTGGAATCATCAAAATGATAAGAAATTTGGCCAAGTCTTGGTAAAGTTACAAACACTGTACACAGAAAGATGTATATGGGACTACACGAACACGTGGCGTAAAAATCCTACCCCCGAGTTTTACGATGTTACATGACATATTTAGAATATGAAGGCATTTGAAGAGCCATGCTTTTCAGGGAACATGTCTTATCTGATGTTCTTCCACACTTGCATAATAAGAATGATAACGCTCACAAATTATTTTTCACCTCTTCCCAGAACTTAACCTTCTCTTTAATTACAATTCTATGTAGTTTCATATCTGCAGATTCGCAAAAATGGAAAAATTGACTTATTTTGTTGGCTTCTGTTTCCAAAACGGTAATAGATATATAAGTAATTTTTGCCATTTTTGCGAATCTGCAGATATGAGAAAGTTGTGAAAATAACCAAGTCAGCCTAAATAATATGCGCATATGTAATCAAATCAAAACCGAACATGATACATCAGTGAAACCTATGTATATCAGACAGGTATGGAAATATATTTTATTTCAAATTTTAAAAAAATCATGAATATTCATCAAATATGCATATTAGGTCATTTCAGCTAATTATATATAAATAGGAAAGTCAAACTGTTCATTTTGTTGGCATTTTTTAGAGGCCACCGATTACCGACAAAACTAGCCCCCAATTACCAACAACTACATTAATACCAATACCAATACACATAGTACACCACAGCGTTACCACATGTCCCAAAATCACATGTGGCCCACACTGTGGTACGCACCACATAGTACACCACAGTGTTACCACATGTCCCAAAATCACATGTGGCCCACACTGTGGTATCAACCACATAGTACACCACAGCATTACCATCACATGTGGCCCACACTGTGGTACCAACCACATAGTACACCACAGCGTTACCACATGTCCCAAAATCACATGTGGCCCACACTGTGGTATCAACCACATAGTACACCACAGCGTTTAATACCACATGTCCCAAATTTACATGTGGCCCACACTGTGGTATAAACCACATAGTATACCACAGCGTTACCACACTGTGGTATGCACCACATAGTCTGGTAAACTGTGGCATCAATCCCAGATGATACAATTAATTAGTACTTTACGCTATAAGTAGCAATTGTACTAATTAATTTGGCAAGTTTGGCGGAGTTTGCACGTAGTTAAATACATACCACGCTGTTGCAAATATGTGTCATTGTGTGTGAAATATGACCGATTATGTGGTAAATCAAACCCCACAGTGGTAAATATGTGTCAATCTGTGTTAAATATGTACGAATATGTCGTAAACCACATGATTTGAAACCAACACTGTGACTATACTGTGATCACAGAGTTTACACATAGTTCAGTACAAACCATACTGTAATAAATATGTGTCACTCTGTGTTTAATATGAACGACTATGTGGTAAACCACATGATTTGAAGTCCACACTGTGAAAATACTGTGATCACAGAGTTTACACATAGTTCAGTAAATACCACACTGTGGTAAATATGTGTCACTCTGTGCTAAATATGTATGAATATGTGGTATAACACATGATTTGAACACCACACTGTGACAGTACTGTGAACACAGAATTTACACATAGTTCAGTACATACCACACTGTGGTAAATATGTGTCATTCTGTGTTAAATATGTACGACTGTGTGGTAAAACACATGCTTTGAACACCACACTGTGACAATACTGTGAACACAGAATTTACACATAGTTCAGTACATACCACACTGTGGTAAATATGTGTCATTCTGTGTTGAATATGTACGACTATGTGGTAAAACACATGATTTGAACACCACACTGTGACAATACTGTGTACACAGAGTTTACACATAGTTCAGTACATACCACATTGTGGTACATATGTGTCATTCTGTGTTAAATATGTACGACTATGTGGACTATGTGGTAAACCACATGATTTAGACCACATACTATGACAATACTGTAAACACACAGTTTTCACATAGTTCAGTAGATACCACACTGTGGTACATGTATGTCACTCTGTGTTAAATATGTACAGCTATGTGGAAAACCACATGATCTGAACCCCACACTGTGACAATACTGTGACCACAGAGTTAACACATAGTTCAATACATGTACCACTGTGGTAGTATGCGGCTCTCTGTGTCACGTATGTCAGTTTATTTGGATATTATGTGGTAAACCACATGGACTGAAACTCCACACTGTGACAACAATGTGAACACATAATGTCCACACAGTTTACACATAGTTGACTATGTGAACATAGTGTGGCAACACTGTGATTGTTCCATAAGGGATGATCGGCAAGAGCGTTTCAAAGCTCACAGCTGCCAACCTTTTCTTTCTTTTGATGATATAGGATTTCCCGGCCAAATTCGCGGGTTTATCATTTAAATTAATTTGTCTTGGGTTCAAATTCGACGGTTTTAGTGCAGTCAGGTATATCTCGGGTTTATATTCCTTTTTCTAGTTTTCAAATCTATGGAATTTTCGTTAGAATCTACGTATGTTTCATTCAATGAATACTGTGCTTCTTCGCTATTAGGTCATTCGATTTGGCGCAACACGATTTTCTGACAACGCGACGGTGTACTTCTAGCATTCTAATTTATTTGTAGCATTCAAATTAGCACTTTGTGCACTTGAATTGATGGTCGATATACATTTCTCGTTTATTACACACTTTTTATAGCTCATTCTTTTTCTTTCAAGATTGTTTTTTTATGTGTATTTCATCATATTTCATTTTATTGCATTTATACACTTATACATATTAAATTTATCTGATATTCATCAGCATTCAAGTTTGATTGTTAAGAAGAAAAAAACGACTTGCATCTACGGACCTGATGGTCTCAATATATTTGTAAATGTTCATGTAGGGAAGTTGTTTGTCTTATGTTTCATCATAAATTTATCATAATTTCATCATAATTTCATTATGGAAGAAGGGTACAATACTGTGACTGGAGTAGGGACTAGAGTCAACAATTTGAACATGATTCATTATTTAGCCAAGTCTTTAGCCATCGATCTGCTGGCGGGCAAGTAAACTATGAAACTCTTTAAGAAAAACAGAGGGGTGTGCTGGGTATAAGAGACGATGTGAATTACTTTTTGTAAAATTCCGAGTCTGTAGTAAAAAGGGGCGATTGAGGGTACCCCCACCTTTCCCGGGTATATGAACATGTCCGTGCAGAAATGCCATTTCCCTTGATTTCGCCCCTTCTTTACTTTATGTATGACTACACCCATCTGCATTGTCCTGAAAATGAATAACTGGAATAACAGCTTAGACCCCAATGGCAAATCATGCATTTTAACTGCATTATTTAAAAACTGTAAAAGTTTGTTGCAATTCTTCCCTTTACATTCCTAACTTGAATAAAAATCTTACGAATACGAATGACAGGTGTTAATTTGAATTATACAACTTACGCTTCGCCAAGTGAATATTAATTTGAATGCTAGTTGAGCAGTTTCTAAATTGAATGACAGATCTATGAAACCCTTCGACCAAAAACCTAAATTAAATACAAAAACTGGAAAATTGAATGACAATTGGCATGGTAAAGCCGATCTGTGCAACTTTAAATGCAAACTAAATGAATTCGAATGACAAACACGCGAATTTGGCCGGGAAATCCTATGTTATAGTATTACTAAAGTTGACAATGACAATTGACAATTATTTTTAATGATTGCTGG